CTGTACATATGTTCTATTGTAGAATAAATGACATAGCTGAGTTCATAATATCCTCTTCCTCTTTCTTTTTCTAATAATTTCTTCTTAGACTTGATTATCCCAAGTTCTGCTACTAGCTGAGTGAATTGTCCCGATATGTTAGAGAAGCACATGGGTTTTCAGTGACATACTGCAAAACTGGATTTTAAAAGCACTCATTTAGGCATAACTGATGAATTTTCTTTTTTCATCATTTGAACAAGCAGATTTTCCCTGCCTGTCATGGCTGATACAGGCAGGTCATTTGCTGCTGCTCATTAAGTACTTTTCAAGCATCAGTGTTGTCCGTGATGACTCTCTGAGATTCTTCCTCCTTTTCTGGCCTCCAGGAAAAAATGAATTGGTTTGTTTCCCTTCTGATTTTAAAACTGGGGATGCTGAACCAATTAAACATCACAAACTACAGTGCCTCTCCATCTTTGAGGGCAGGTGAATCACAGAATCATAGAATGGTTTGGGTTAGAAGGGACTGTTAAGATCATCCAGTTCCAACCCCCTTGCTATAAGCAGGGACACCTCCCACCACAACAGCTTGTTCAAAGCCCCATCCAGCCTGGCCTTGAATGTTTCTAGGGAGGGGGCATCCACAATATCTCTGGGTGACCGCTCTTATCACCCTCACAGTAAAGAACTTGTTCTTAATGTCTAGTCTAACTCTACCCTCTTCCAATTCAAAACCATTTCCCCTTGTCCTGTTGCTACATTCCTGTAGGCCCCCTTCAGGTATTGGAATGCCAATATAAGGTCCTCTTTGAGCCTACTCTTCTCCAGGTTGAAGAGCCTCTGCTCTCTCAGTCTATCCCCATAGAGGAGATGCTCCAGCTCTCTGATCATCATCATGGCCCTCCTCTGGACCCACTCCAACAGCTTGATGTCCTTGTGTTGGAGGTCCCAGAACTGGACACAGGCGGAGTCTCACAAGAGCAGAGGGGCACAATCACCTCCCTTGACCTGCTGGTCACATTTCTCTTGATTCAACCCAGGATACAGTTGGCCTTTTGGGCTTCAAGAGCACACTGTCAGCTCATGTTGAATCTCTCATCAACCAACACTCTCAAATCTTTCTCTTCAGGGCTGCTCTCAAACTATTGAGAGCATATCACAAATCCAGACTGTATTTGTGCTTGGGATTGCCCCTAGGAGGCACACTAATTCTGGGCAATGCCAATAGTTCATGGAGGAAACTGCTGAGATCTGTACTCTTACTCCTAATTACTGGTGCTGAGAAGAACAGCTATTCACAACATGCTTTACAACCGACATGAAGTCCAGGATGACTGAGATCCATAGGAGTCCTGAATTCAGCCCAATATATTACCCACAGAAGGTAGCAAGCAATATGAAGGCCTTCATACCTCCACCTTGATACACTTCCCCATAGAATATGTCTATCCATGAGAAGAGCCCATCTGGCACATGCTATGCATTTATGCACATCTGTTTTTGTGGCAAGTGGCAGCAATGGTTGAACCCTAGGAGAACTGTGAGGGTGGCAGCTTGCTGCATGTGGGTTGCTTCCAGCAGCTGAGCCGCCATGTTGGCAAGCCAACTGTCAGTCTGCTGCCACCCGCTGCCTGGCAAGCCCTGCTGAAATGGCACATAGCAATGCTTGTTTTCATATTTCCTTGTTATGAATCTGTCAATAGAGCCAAACTGAAATATAGCGCAGATTTCCAGTCCTGTACTCAATCCATCGCAGAGATGTTGCCTATGTTTGTGAAGTGCTCTTAGGCTGCAGACTAAATGGTGCTCTAATAAGGCCAAGGTGGTTTTCAGGCTTTTGAACACCACAGTGAATCTGCTTGTTAGCTGGTGAGTTGCACTCTAATTAAAGACACTCAGTGAGTTTTTGGTGAAATTCATGTGGTGGCCCAATCCCCTTTCTCAGCACATATTTAACTAACTAAAAATGACAAAGTTTAATGCTGAATTCATATACTAAATATTTTAGAAAACAACTGAACGTGTGTTTTTAAAAATGTGCAGTTCCAGCCTATTTCTTCACAGGGCTCCTTCTTGGGACCTTCATATTCTGTTGCATGCAAGGGATACTAGCATAATTTATGACAAACAAATATTGAAGGAGGAAACTCATTCACCTCGATAATGCCAAGTAACCACATAGTTTGAGTGACTAGGCACCTTTTCAAAAAACAATCAAATAAATTAAAAAAAAAAAGCAAACAAAAAAACATTCCGTGATGGTGACAGTGACTTTCAAGTTAAGCAGAAACAACAGAGAAGTCAAGGCTGACAGTTAATGCTCTCCACAAAATGACCTTCGCTGCAATTCTTACCCCTTGGCTGGGAAGGATAAAATAAAAAGCACAGTGGTATGTACTTTTGGTGAAGATGCAGCTGTCATATCAGTGCTTCCACAGATCCAGTACCATGAACAGAAGGGGCAGAACTGCAAAGTCCTGACTTCCTTGACAGCTCCATGTGCCAAGACTTGCAAGATTCAGTGGTGTTGCTCTTGCCAGAAAATGTTATTTTGTGGTTTTTAATTTGGCTCCTGGAGATACAGCAGCATGTCCAGACAGTGCTAAAAATACTGTCCTTCATTTTCTTCTGGCAGGTTAGAGTAGTAAAAAAATATCTATGATGTATGTTTTTTTTTTTTTTCTTTCTGGTTAAAACGTGCCACCCTTGAATTAAGAGCACAAGAGATTATTTATTTAACCTTGACACTTAGCTTAGGACACTGCTGAATTTCCATCAGGCCTAGTACATCTTGGTGAAAGCTTTCCTAAAAATAGGAATTATCTGTTCTAATGGGGGATTGAGAATTTGACATAAGAAATAAACCATAAAAAATGACACTTTTGTCACAGACCCAGTGATTTTTTTGGCAAAACCTCCTGCTGCTTAGTAGCTGGATGGTTTGCATCTGTTTAAATTGACTATATAGATGTCATTCTTTCCACCCAATTGCCAGTCTATTATTACTAAGAAGAAACAAATCTGATAAAACTTCTCAGTAAGTTCAGTTCAGCAGTATTTACAGGTAACTGGACACTAAGTCACCCCACGATGACCATGATAAAGCCAGGAATGCATTCTTCAAAGCACTGTTTCTCACAGCTTTTGAAAGTACAATCTTTTTGATTGATCTCTGAAGGCCTGAGTAATGATTAGAATTTCCTGAGATGTGTTTTCTAACGCTTCAGAACCTGCTTGGAATCCTACTGTAATACATGGTTTGAAGAACAGTACTTCAAAAAAGTTTCTAGTGCACATCTTCTGTCGGAGATTTCTATGATTAAGAAACAGCTCCCTGACAATAGTTTATTGGTTTATGCATTTCTGAAGCCTTTTGCTCTGAGCAGGCTAAAGCACTTAGCTTCACAATAGCTGTAATATATAGTCTAAGCTGTCAACCTCTAAACTGGATGAGAATGTAGAATTCAGTCAGTCAAAAGAGATTTAATTTTTATTTTATTGAGACAGGAGTACTGTCTGCATTAGAGCTTTGATGTTCCTAACGGAAGACAATCCTGAGGGGCATGGCTGGATTGCAGTTGTATTAATTTGTAAAAACAGAAACAAACATCAAGGCTCATACACAAAAAAGGACACACAGCCTCCATAATGGGACAAAAAATAATAAATCTTGCAGCATGCTAACTTCTTAGGTTGTGTGCTTAAACTGGAAGTCTTAAAAAGAGCTGGGATATTGTAGTATGGAGTGTCCCTACAAGACATTAATGAACTTGTATATAAAGTTTTTTATATCACTGTATTCTATCATCAAATTCTGAAAGTGATGTATTAATAATAGAAGTGTGAAATTTAATGAAACATTATACTGAACATCCTATTATGCAGGACAGGTGACATACACCAATACATTCATCAGTGAATTATATTAGAAGATGAAAGAATGTATTTGTGTTCAGGTTGTTCTGAGAAATATTTTCTCAATGATGAGAATTCTATTATCTGTCAGTCCTTCATCATCCTTCTTAACAGTCAAAAATGTGCAGTGTGATGCTGAAAACTTTCCTTTGTAGAAAGGGCTGCTGGGTTTTGTGTTAAAGTGTATTAAATTTTCATCTTATTTGTTACAAGCTTACATTGTTCTCTATTTCTTTAGTGGGACCTCTTAAAGGAAGATCCCTAAGAAAGAAATAGCTTTTAACTGGACAGTGTTTATTCAAGTCTCCAAAGGAAGGTAAAGGAGATGGCAACTGACTCTAGAAGAAAAGGAAATTTCCTGGCTCGTTACTTCACACCTCATCTCAGAATTCTTGGCCTGGATTTTCTTTGGCACTGAGTGTTCAAACATTCACTAACTTCAGAAATAGTAACAAATCTAATGTTGGCTTATATTTTCAAGAGGCTTCTAATTCAGAAAACTATTTGAGATCTTTTCGAATTATCTGTGTTAGCTTCTCAACAGTGCCAGACCGAACTCAGCTGAGCAGGAATTGTGGAGGGGACATTTTGATGCTCTTATGACTGGTGTCTTTTATCTGGCCATCACATATAGAAGTGAAATGCAATTGTGCTTGACAGGTGAGAACTACATACGTAGTAGGCAGAGTGTAAACACCTATGCTTGTTTTTCCCTTGAATTTTTGAGATGCATATCCCAGCCTCCCCATTCTCCAGCAATTGCTGGCTGTGTTATCCCATAGCCGAAAACAGATCCCATGCTCAATGCTTTAATTTTCAGAGTGAAACAATAATGCAATCGCCTTCAGTGGCAGAATTCCCACTGACCTCTGTGTGGGCAGAGCTGTGCCTTGTTTTTAATTCTGCTTTTATTTGAGTGCATTATTAGATTTCTGTTCTGCCATCTTAGGTAATATTTGTTCCAGCTTTAAGTGACCATGGAGGACCTTTCTACAGCAAATGATCTTAACCGAGGCTCAAAATTTTAACTCCATGATTATCCATTACTTCAGACATGCTAGTGTATACAACATACTGTGTAGATGGAAGAACATGTAACCTACCTAGAGTCGGGTCATACTCCCAGATAAATCGTTTGGTCAGGAAGCGCACGACAAGAGCTGGAGGAATGAAAAGACATACAAACCATCAGCTTGCCCAGTAATAAATAATAGTAATAAATAAATAATGAAATTCTATCAACAATTTTTTTCTGTGTGAATGCTTGTGTAGTGCCTCTTCTGAACAGGGGGTGGAATTCAGCTTTGTTAATGGGGGCAGTTGAGACCTTTTCACTATCTGTCGCCCACTTCTAACATTCAGAGGAGGGGAACAAAACAGGAAAAAAACAAGTTATAACATTAATGATTTACCCTTGTAACAATGCTGGGAAAAGAATGCCAAGAGGCTTTCAATGGCCTTTAACTTTCTTTCATGTTGTTTTCTTCACACAATAGCTTTACTGTTAAAAAGACAAATCAGAACCTTATTTAGAATGCTTTGAGTTGGATGAGCAGATGACCTTTGGTGGGGGGAACCACATTTCTTTTGCTGCTTTATGGGATAAGAGCTGGCAGTTTTTGAACCAGAATGCTTTTCAGCTTCAAAGCCAGAGGAGTTCATCATCATTTATGTAGGTTGCTCCAAAACTAATGCCTTGTATTTATTTTTATTGAAACTACAACAGATATAAGGAGCACAATAATGCTACTTGATAGAGCAAATTTGCAGCTACAAAACACCATTTGTTATCGCAGTCTCTCCCATTAGATATGCCTTTTGCCAGTGATGAACAAAAGCCCGCATGCCACACTTGTAAAAATCTCCACGACCGTCCAAAACATGCCTTGTCCTTCACACCACCATTGCTGAAACGCACCACCCACCTCCTCACTGTGCTCCCATCTGCTGTTTGGTCTTCATAAACATTCAGCAAGTATCAGTGAATGTCAATGGGTGCCATTTTTTCTGCATGGAGGAATTAAATTCTACACCCTTGCTTCATCCTCACTTCCGTGTCAGATGACATTCTGTCAGACTGCCTTCCTCACTGCCATTCGGCACACAGCAACAAAATGTAATGAAATGTTGTCCAGAAGGTTCAATCTCTACTGTCATATCAGCATCTGCCTCTAACATCATAAGCCAACACCATAAAATTGGAGGCATTACTTTCAGAGCAGCCCTCATAATTTCTGATAAACTTTCCCTTCAGATGTGAAACTTCAAAAAGTAAATATAATTGGCTAAATTGCTTCCTCTGCAGCTTGACATGCTTTCCTTGCAATAACTTGCCTTCAGTATTTTCCCTACTTACCACTGGCAGTGATCAGCTATATTTACATTCTTGACCAACAAGTGCAATTAATGAATTTGCAGAAATAGAAATAATGTTTTGGATTTTGGAGCACGGGATAATTAGTTTTCAATTTCAGTTTATGGGCTAAGATCTTGCTACTTATATTCTTATATCGATTTTTTTTTCTCTCCATCCACTTAAAGGCATCCTACAAATGCTTTGCCAAGATTTTGATTATGTTCTAGCTATCAATCTTAAAGCTAAGCACTGCCTTGTAGTTCTAGTGCTGTAATTCTGTGATTCCATAAGCAAAGCATTCACTGCTGTCAAATATTCAAAATTCTCTCTGTGCTTTCAGATTGGAGAAAGAAGTATCCCTGCACTAACTGTGATTTTAGTGATTTCAGCTATAGGAGAAGGTTTTCTTGTCAGCCCTACAGCTTTGTTCTATTTCTCCTTCAGCTGCAGACAGACAGCAAAAGGTGACATCTAAGCTGAATTCTGGCTTTTTTCAAAATCAAAGCAATAGGAATCTCTCACACTCCAGACTTCTGTGCCCAGAAGCAGAATCACAGAATTACAGAATCACAGAATTGAAGGGTTGGGAGAGACCTCAAGAGATCAAGTCCAAACCCCTGCTAAAGCAGTACCCTACAATAGGTGACACAGGTAGGCGTCCAGATGAGTCTTGAAGATCTCCATAGAAAAAAACTACACAACCTCTTTGGGCAGCCTGCTCCATTGCTCAGTCACCTTCACCATAAATAAGTTTATCCACATGTTAGTATGGAACTTCCTACGTTCAAGTTTTAGGCCATTACTTGTCATATTGCTATACACCACTGTATAAAAAAAGCCTGGCCTCATCCATTTGCCTCCCACCACTCTCTGGACATTTATAAACATTCTTGAGATCTCCCCTCAATCTTCCTTTTCCCCAGGCTGAACAGACCCAGCTTACTCAGCCTTTCCTCTGATGGGAGATGCTCCAGGCCCAACACTATAGAAAAAACTTCATTAATTCAGCTTTGGTCACTTGGAACCTATTTTATTTAACAGAGTCAGAACCTTAGTTTTCAGGAAGACTTAAGTATGCTTCACACTTGGAAAGTAATAAGAATGTGATCCTAAGGAAATGAGATCACTAGACAAGATGCAATTTTAAATTGCTGTTATTTTATGATTCTTTTATACCTTAGGAATTTTTTTAAGCCTTTGCAGCAATGCTCTCCTTGGCCCTCTGAGTGAATGTGGCAATACTAAAAGTACTTTTCAAGTCATACTACTAACAAGGATGTCATCATGGAACAAGAATATCTCTGTGTAGCTTATTTTCCATCCATAATGCACCATTTCCCCCATGTTTTACCTCAGCTGGTGAAGTTTAAACATCTTGACGTTTTAAAAGTTTGGTCATGACTCTTCTCTAATTGCTAGTAATTGGTTCTCTAATTGCTGGTAAAATAGACGGCATGTTCTATTTTGACTGGGGAAGTAATGCAGGGTAGAAATTCTCCTGACATGCTTTTTGAAGCTCCTTACCATGTTACTTTTCAAGAACAGATTTTAAAAATGCTTCCAGGAGCTTTGCGGCCCACTAAAGTGAAAAGCCTGTATGCTTGAGCACTCAAAAGAAACAGCATTTGCTCTATACTGCCTCATGCCTGCTGCATACTGTTTGTCAGATGTTGAGGATTCCAAGGTGTTCCTCAACCCTTTCAGAGAAGGTGGTTTGATGCGCATTGTATCATAGCAGCAGAGTGGGTTCTCAAATGGACTCTAAAGGTGGAAAACTATAATTTGTTTTAGTGACAGAATAAGAATACACAGAATTCACATGAGTATAATCATGTTTTTTCTCGCTTCTCAGCTTATCACTATGTCATTGTTCTTAATGAGCACCACCCACAGATACATAGATGCTATAAAATGCTGGCAAAGAGAAGAAGACCCCACGGGCTGGCTTTCATGGCAGCACATTGCACTTTTCTACCTTATGACTGAAGAGGGCTTTTGGGATGCTGGCTCACAAGTGTCCAGCAACTCTGCTTGCATTCTGCTTGTTGGGACTGCAGCTGGATTGCTTGGGCATGCTGTGTGTGATGACAAAGAAGCAGGTAAAGCACAGCCACCTTGTATTTGTAGATGGAAACTGCTGGAGAAAGAGGGTCAAAGAGATGAAGGAGACTGGAAGAAAATCTGTTAAGCTCTCATGTCTGAGAAAGACCATAGATGTGCAGCTCTAGGGGAGGAGGGCTTATTTCAGATTTAGCCAAAATGAAGGAGATGAGGCCAGGTGAAAAACAGAAGATAGAAGTGGACCATGACTGCTGAGGTTACCCTAAGAGAACAGGGTTACAGGTGTGTACACTACATGAAACAGCACTGGCTTCCACACTACTAGACTGAAGTTTAGCAGCTGCGTTTTACAGATGGGAAACATGAGATGCTCTTGATCCAGTATGTATCCTGTTTCTAAATGATCACAAGATGTTTTGGATAGAAAGCATCTCAACCTTCATCTCGATAGGGGTGCCCAGCAAATGGGTCTCTGATGTACAGTTGGGTATTACAGCAGTGTCTGACTTTATCTGGTTTGACAGAAGGGAGTCAATGAGAGGAGAGCTGGGAGAGAGAAAGTGCTCGGCCTAGACCAGTTGCTGGCTCATACTGCCTGCCCTAGAAATGATCTCTCTAGTCCATGAATATTACTGTGGAGCCATTTTGTTTATTGCTGAGCTCAGTTACTGCCAGATTACATCACTTTTGTTTTAGTAGAATAACTTCTGCCAGCAGAAGAATCAGAAACAAAGACATTAGAAATTGACTACATTCAGTGTTGTGGTGCTCAGATTTTTGCTGCTGGCAAAAAGGACATTTCAGGCAAAGCAATAAATCTTCCTCATACCCTTAGCAATGCTACAGATAAAAAGTTGGGAGTTGCACAGACCTTTGCTAAGGTGAGCAAGAAGCACTTGATGTGTTAGCCATGTTTGCTCTGATGTTTGCTAAAAGTAAGCCAAAAATAGCCCAACACTTTAAAGTAATAATAATCTGCCTACTGGATTTTTATTTTAAATAATGCAGAGATTGAAAATGTATGAAACATTATTTTCTCATTAAACTAGGTGACTAATTCTGGTGTTCATATTATAATCAACCTTCCTAGTGTTTGTTGTAGGAAAAGACGAAATGCATTTTGAAGCAGACAAGATTCGAATTGATGCAGTACTGAACAGAAGTGAATTTCATTGTTCTCTGCTGAGAGGAGCCCACACCCTGCCCCAGCACTCACTGCTTGTGAAATGCATGAATTTTCAGGCTGTGAAGGAAAGAATCTCCAACAAACTGCAATTTGGATTCCTGCTGTGTTTTGGAGACATGACCATTACCTAAGGAAATTGATGTAATGGCTCATGTCTCTTTTTGCCTTTCTTTACAACCTCATTTCCAAGTCAGCTGTTTTGTACAGGGTTTAAATTAGGGTAGAACTTGACTTTCATTCAGTCATGTTTAAACCTTCTGCCTTAGAAGTTATTCTTGGAGAAGAAACATGACTATCTGTCAAACACATTTGCACTGTAACTCCAATGAAGACAGTGAAATTATAGCAGGAGTTAACTTGGTTTATAAACTGAGATTGTCAACTACACAATTAATCAGTTTCTTTGGGACTTGTGTGGCTAAGGTCCTTTCCCAACTTTAAAAATCTCAGTCCGTATCTTTTTGGAACATTTAAATGTATATGTACCATTGAGTTTTGGTTTAGATCTTTGTTTGGATTTAGTAACATAAATGGCTCCGGTAAAATTTACAGTCTGC